TACTAGGAGCAAAGGGCATCGCTACTAGGAGCAAGAACGCTACTAGGGGCTCCTGGCCTTACTACTAGGAGCAAGGACGCTACTAGGGGCTCCTGGCCTTACTAGGAAAAAGAGAAAGTTTTATTTCAATCATCCAGCGCCACCCCAGAGGCCCAACGACGTTTGGTACGAGACCCCAGAGGCTACGTGGAAGCCTTGAGCGAGGCCTCGGAGGGCTTGCCGTCCTCGTATCGGAAGTGGCTCCCCCACTTAGGCGGCTCCTTCTCTTTGTGGCAAGCGGCCACCCACAACCCCAGCCGGGTTCACTTCCGCCCGGCGGAAGACTGGGCGTTTCGGCATTTGGACTACATGCCGGCGCCGTGGGCATTGGGTCCTCCGCTGCCGCTGGATTACATGACGGACTACGCTGGTGGACCCGTCTTTGGTCTAGCGAGACCGCATGAGGTGGGAAGACGGAAGATCTGGTGGGTTTGTGGAACTTGTGCTTGCAGGAATGAATGGACATTGTCCTGTCGAACTTTCAATATAAGAGGAGCAAGGACGCTACTAGTAGCTCCCTGCAACACCTTGGTTCAACATGACATGGGGACCGCGATGAGCACCGAACCTGCACACACGGACTCAAGTTCTAAATGAAGCCAGACTTGCCACGGTTTCAGTTTAGCCATTCTCCAGACTTTTTCTGGAACCCTTTTTGGTTATGGTCTAACAACGACTTTCCTGGTGGCCATCACGGCATCATCTTCGCAGGTCTATCCCAGTTCGGTGGGTCCGCTGATGAAGCTTCGACGCTTAGACCGTTGTGCGTTGGATGCCATCATTGCCTTCCGGAGTTATGTGAAAGACTCCCCGCGGCCCGGCAGTTACAGTATGTTAATTTGTATGTATTTGTTTGCGCTCTAAGTGTGTAGGGAAATCGGATGATTCTCGTGACTACCAAACAGCGCCCCTGCTCTTTTTTTGCCTGCACTACCAAGCACAGAGCACAGAACCTAAGGATCTCTTTCTGTTCAAATGTTCAATTTCTTTCTGTTTGTTTCAGGTTAGTTCAAATCTACGAGCTGCCTCTGGAGCCACGCTGGTGGCCTAGCCGCTCTGTGGGAGAGGCGATGGCCGCTTTTGAGGCGAATCATTGTGGCACAACCGACGTCTTTCTGCAGGTGACGTTCGCAGTGATGAGGAAGACATGTGAAGTGATTCCTGGTTTTGTGTATATGAAATTTATTCTTTTATGTATGCGATTTCATCCCGAACCCATTTTTTCTTTCGTTCTGCATATCTGCATCTCCAAGGATCTTCTTCTTCAATGACCACCCGAGTTTGACTTTGGCGCTCGGTCTCACCTTCGTCCGGCTTTGCAAGTTCTATCTGTCTCGAGGTCGCAAGAGGAAGGATGGTTTGAAGGAGGGATAGAGGTGGACACGCAAGGAGCCGAAAGAAAAGGGACGAAGAGCGTAAAGAGAAGAGCCGAAAGTGATGGGAAGAAGTCTTGAAGAAACCAGGTTCCAGTGTGCGAGTGTAGCAAGGAGAAGGCGGTCTACTCGTGAGAACAATCCCACCCGCTATTGCCAAGTCTCTTTGTGAATGACCTAGGTCTGTTTCCATGATGAATGAGGGGATGCTCAACCAAGTAGTCTCCCTTACTAGTTCTTTGTCAAGTGTCTTGACGAGCAAATATTCCAAACCCATGAACTCCCGTGTTCTTCCGAAAACTCCCGTGTTCTTCTGAAGGGCACATGCAAATCCAACCCACCGACCAAGTAACCAATACCCACGAGACTTTCCCTTACCCACCGAAGAAAGCAGCGGCTTGTGGCAGCAACGGGTGAACGGTCGCCAGGTGGAAGGCTCTTTTGGAAAAGATCAACCAAGGCGTCACTCTGCGCCGCTTTGCGCCGCTCTGCCAGGGTGGCATCGCACCAAGCACGATTTTGGGAGTTCCGTTTCGTCACAGTCCCCTCGAAGAATGACCAATGCACCAAGACCAATCAACATCACTTCTATCATTTTCATTTTCTATCAACACTGTGTTCATAAAGTACCCATCGCTTGTTCTATCAGTTTCCTTTTTTACTGGTCTTCTATTTCCCTCGCCTCACGAGGACATCGGAACTTCACCCAGTTGCTGAACCTGTCCAGCCGCCCACGTGTTGCACTCGGAGTCGTTCGGGGTCGTCGATCCTTCGCGGAGTCTCCGTGCGTGCTCGGCCACCGGTCAGGCGAACGTCGCCCAGTATTTTGGGTGCGGATCTCTCAAACAGGAAGGACACATGATACACATGTGCAAAGTTCTTGCTCGAACATGGTGATTGTCCTTTGGGCTGACAGCTGGGTTCAAGCGAAAAGAACCACGTGTGATTGAGGAGACCCTAGACATAGGCCCATAAGTTCGTAGGCATACCACAGCTGAGTCGATCGTGCTTCGAAGTTTCATGGCAGGTTCAGAAAGGCTGTGAAGAGCAGCCACATGAAGAAGGCCCGCATTTCAGTATGGCTTTCAGCCGCTGAAAGGGTCAGACATCTATACGCTCTAAGTCAGAATTCGGTGAAGTTTAGGGCCTAGGCGGCCTAGGGCCTAGGAGGTTTGATGATTTTTCATTCAGGCCAAGCGTTCGGAGTTTTTTCCCGAAAGCATTGCGAAGGGTTCTTCCGGAAAATCCCTTGAACACTGACACTTCCACCACACTTGCACTACAACATGAACGCTATACGTACCCCAGTGTTACGTACCCGAGTGTAAGTGGAAGAGTGAAAGCATCCAAGTGCAAAGTATGCAAGTGTCAAAGTATGCAAGTGCAATGATGCAAGTGCAATGATGAGTATGCAAGCATGCAATGAGTATGCAAGCATGCAATGAGTAGGCAAGTGTGAGCATGGAAAACTAGCACGGGAGATGTCCTAATGAAAAACATTTCCCCACTTTATAAATTCTCTCTTAAAGGCGGAGGGTGGGACGAACAGCGTCAACCGAAAGTGCAACCCTCTGCGGAGATCGTGCGTGTCGAGTGCGCGAGATGCAGGCGAGAGCGCGATTTGTCCGGTGCCCGCGCAACCCTCTGCGGAGATCGTGCGTGTCGAGTGCCTAAAGTGCAGGCGAGAGTGCGATTTGTCCGGTGCGCGCGCAACCCTCTGCGGAGATCGTGCG